AGGAGAATTCCGACGAGGAGAATCCCGACGAGGAGAATTCCGACGGAGAGGTTGATGATGATGCCAGCGAATTGCTCCATACATTGCGGAAGCGACTGAGATCAGCGAGCCCTGGAAACGTCGGTCGGAAGCTGATGAAGATATCGAGCTCGCAGGAAGATTCTGGCAACGAGGAGTTTGACGAGGGCACTAATGCGACATTTCATGTGAAGCTTGGGAAGGAGGATTTCGAGGCCATGCGGGTTATTGGGCAGTTCAACAAGGGTTTCATTATAACGGCTCTCGAAGGCCGATGGCTGTTCATCTTAGATCAACATGCCTGTGATGAGAAGACTATCTTCGAGACGCTCAACAAAACGTCCGAGTTGAAGTCGCAGCCAATGATTGTTCCAGTGAGGCTTAGCCTGCCGCCTCCTCTTGAATCCTGTATTCGCGGATCACGACGAGAGATCGAGGTGAATGGATGACGATAGTTATCACCCATGCTCCGCTACGGTTTACAATGAGGTCATCTTTTCAGGCTTGTGGGTTCCGGTTCAATTTCGACGACGACGCCCCTATTGGTTCTCGAGTTCAACTGACTTCTCTTGGCGTAGCATCGGGACTGGGGTTTGAGAGGAGTCGCCCACTCACAAAGGAAGACTTCGTGGATCTAGCTAGCTTGCTGCTCGACCGTGGGGCGACGGGCCGATCGGATGATGAGCGTAGACATCGTCTTTGTGGCGCCTGTCGCTATACGCATGTCGTTGCCAGTCCCGTCCGCATCGCTCTTCTGGTCATCCGCCCTGGGCCACTGCCTACGGCCTCCCCGAGTGTGGTCCATGCTTGCCTCTCGAGCATGTAGGACTGCCATAATGATAGGGGACTCGCTGAGTCGGAAGAAGATGGAGGGAGTTGTTCGAAAAATGGCAGGTGAGTTCGTCTAATGTGCCCGAAATGTCTTTTGTGATCGTTCTATTCTCAGCTCTCAACCAACCATGGAATTGTCCGCATGGTCGACCCACCATGCGTTTGCTTGCAACTCTTTCTGCCCATGGCAGAGGGATTGATCCTGTAATTGAAGAATATGCAGCCGAATCATTCGATAATTTACTCCAACGTTTGTAACTAGATGACAAATGAATTGATGTCTTCGATCATAGCTCCCCCCCTTTGTTGGCGTTTTAGTGAATGTCTATCTCTAGTCGGCCAGGCTGACCGGGCCAGCAGCGCGAGCTGATGCACCTCTCTGGCTCCATCATTTCCTCCTCGTCGTCATGGTCTCGGGGTGACCCCCGGAGGGTCTTTCATCATCGCTGGTCTCAGGCTCTCCCTTCACGTGGGCTATCCTAAATCCTTAGAAGGGCGTTGGAGTCAGGGGTGACATTGTGCAGTAGTAGTGCAGCACGACATGACTTACTTCGTTGTGAGCGTTAGTGAATGCCTCTGCCCCATCCCCAATGAAACAGTTGGGGAATTAGGAACTGTCAACACCTGGCAATGTTGCCGGGTAGCTTTGAAGACAGGAGTCACTTGATCCCGGATCAATGATCCGTCGTATCCCCAGGAGGCTCTCTTTGAATGTTTTACAAACTATGTTAGTGCAAAGGCGAGTTGTACTGTAGATCAGTATCGACACCCCCGTGATAGACCTGTAAGCAACTTGTTATACCGATCGTCAGCTCCGTACTTGGATTTGCGAGTGATTGCCCACTGTCAGCTTTTTCTCTTTGTACCCGGTTTTCTGTTCATCATACTCGCTTATGCGTCCCTGAAGTTCAGGCTCTCGCGCTTTTAAAGCGCGAGAGCCGCTTTATCTCATACAGTGACCTTCTGAAGGCTCATCTCATCGATCAAGGATAATGATTCGAGATAAGTTATAGCTTCGGTTTTTTGCGGACAGCCCTGTCGATACGAAACTACAACCGGGTCTATTTATCCTGCCGACCGAAGCCTTCTGCTTACTTGGACTGCTCATTTATCCCGGTTCGCTGCAACACCATAAGATGCCGAAAGACTCAGTCTCATGGTTCATGAGAGATGTTTGTACTTCAGATAACCTTTCAAGCTTTTATGATGAATCGATAATGTAGCCCATTCGGTCGACCTGGTCAACTCGGTCAGCTTCACAGAAGGTTTCTGCCAGAAGCTCAAATGGCCCCCCTCCCTATTGGTAGAGAGACTCTCCCTCTCTTTCATGTTTGCTCAAGGACGGGAGCCTACATCGCCTTCACGTCCCCTGTCGGGTTGTGCTTCTCACTAGCTTCTGTGATCCGAACACTTTCGGAAATGAACTCTTTCGAGCTTGGTTCATCAATGACTCTAATGGGGAACGCAACGCCTTTTTGACGGTCATGTTGTAAGGTTTGATCTCGCTCCGCGATGTAACGCTCCCTCTTTCCGCAGATCCAGCCGAATAGGAGTAGTAAGCGGGGCGGTGCAGACTCGAAGGCTGAGCGAGTCCGAATCCTTCGGAATCCTTGGCGGATCGCCAAGGTTCCATCACTGCAAAAGCAGGGCATGCTCTGTGACATGCTCAGCATGTCACCGTCTCTTAGGCGTGCTCAACACCCTGCGCTGAAGAACAACAGCACTCCTGTTGTTTTTCCATTGGGTTCCATACCTTAATCGGTTCTTCAATGACTTCTGGGCCACTTTCAGTGTATTCCGCGTTTCGACGACTATGAGCTCAGCTGAAGATTCTCGGGAAGCCACCACGGCCCCTTCGCTCAGTGACGAAGATTACGAGAAGATCCAGAAAGCGATGGACGAGGGTCGATATCCGTGCAACAACGGCAATTTCAACCTCACCACTGGGAGATGTATCTGCGAGAAGAACTATGTTCACCTCGTCTATGAAGATCGAATAGAGTGAGCATCATTTGGTTTCTTCCGGTATGGCGTGTCCAATTCCCGTCGATACTGCATTTATCGCGTCTTTAGGATGTGCACCTACCAGGAGAAGGTCATAGGATCACCCTCCGTCCCGGGCTTCCACTTTGTTGATGAAACTTTGAGGCGAGGCGACCTCATCGTAAACAGCGTGGCAGAGTTTCTCGCTCAGCTTGTTACCTAGTGCTCCTCAGACTGACGAGAAAGACCTCCAGGCTAGTTATAACCCACTATTGTGGATTCTTATTGTAGTAGGCGTCGAAGTCGGAGTGTACACAGTGTAGGCAACCTCTCCTACCAATTTGATCCAATGCGAGCTCGATCAAAGCCGTCTCAGGTGGAAGATGTTGCGCAAGCGCTGCATCAAGATCGTGTCATCGAAAAAATGAGGAGTCTTTTTCCACATTCACTGCTGAACTCCCCATGTACAAATGAAGCTACAATGTTACTGCATGACTCTTCTAAATCCACTACCCAGTGGAGAGGATGATGTGTAAAGCAATTCAGATCAAGCATCTCTGTTGTGTTGAGTGATATATGCGGCACATGCTCACTCAACCAGTTGTTACCCCTACATTCTCCTTGTCATACCCCGATTCTAGTGTCTTACAGAGTGAGAAGTCCTATTGGGTCAAATCGGAGCCGTCTATTCTCCATTCACGGATGTGTGCCCCCTGCTCTCATGAAGACCACGATGCTCCGGCAATTCTCTTCCGGTCTCAAGATGGATTGGTCGCCTTCTCCTTTCGAGCAAGCCATGTGCTTTTTGTGACACAAGTTTTGTCGTAGGTGTTTCCCTGGCTCACCTATTGTCGATGCAGTCTCATCACTCAGTTTCAAGGAGTTGCGGTTCGTTTTTCAGCCGGATAAAATGAAGGAGCTCCCGCCTTGGAGACTACTCGAAGTCAGAACAGCTCCATGTAACGTGTACGCTTACTCGAAAACGAGCGTAACAGACTGAACGCGTATACTGTTGAGTTGATTGACGAGTAACGGTTGGAATATCGAGGAATTGGTGGAACAACTCCCCCAATATCATGAACGAATGCGCAAGTTCGTTCTCAACAGGAATGTAGATCGGTTGGATGTTTGAGAACCTAATAGAACTACTAACTGGACCATGATTGTGCTTTTTGGTGGGCATTTTGACAGGTTTCCCCGTGGACAGTGGCAGGCGGGAGAGGATCAGACACCTCAGCAACCTCCTCCTGATCTCCCACTGATACAACTCCAGACGTAGCTGACATGACGTAATGGGCTAATAGTAAATGCTCATACCAAAATAGCTAATCTGGCGCAAACAAACCGTGTCACTAAAACTTTGTGTCCTAAATCACTAAATTAGACGCGCGCGCCCCTGTGATCGGTTTATGCGCGCCTAAGGTTAAGAAAAAGAACATCCTTCACACCGTTTTCAGGTGTATGGATAGACAAACATATAACCCGACTAACCGCTATTATTATATGCCGTGCTGGCCTTTCCCGCATGAGGTATGATCCTGCTATTACTACCCGCTACCGCTGGATTCCCCTCCGTCAGCGTAAGTGGTTATCTTTTGACGAGAAGAGAGAGAGGCACGCCTACGTCGGAGAGACTGCTCAAAACTTCCTCCACGCGAATGGTATCAACGAAAGCTGGCTGAACAGTTGTTCGATTAAGTGGGTGAAAAATCTCGCGTGTCAAGACTTGAGACGGAGGTTATATCATTTGCTACTACTTGCCAGGTTCCACAAAGATCCAACAGGGTTCACGACACGTCAGAGAAAACGTCTTCGAGAGGTCTGGCATCGGTACTCAGTCTTCCATTAACCTACCGTGGCACGGTAACCGTGCTTCTTTCGCCGGAAAAATGCATTGCCGTGGATGCCAAGAAACTTTTATCATCTAATAATCAGAGGCTTAGAACCGATTACTTCTCTGTCAACCCGCAAAACCAACAACTCAACTCGTAATGCATCGATGAATTCACTTTCCACTCAATAATTCTGGTCAAAAGTTTCGCTGACAAGTCCCCAAGTTGAGCAATCAAGTGCAAGTACCTCAAAGTTTGAGGCTCAAACATTCCACCACTCCTGTGGTCGACCGAAGCTCGAGAAGCCCATCAGCATCATTAATAAGTGATCTTCACTGAGTCATACTGTTCGAAGTATAGTGATCTGCATGCATCAATGATATAGTTTCGCAGCTCGAAAAACTTGGAAGGTGAATCAAAATGTAGCTCACAAAACGAGTGTCGAGTTTTCCCAATGAGACATGGACTTGAGACAGATCCGCCTGGCCCGCTGAACCCTCTTCGTAAACTTGCTTGAAGGAAGTTGCTTCCCTCCGGGTTTTTGGTTCATCTGTTTCCCTAACGCCGTTGAAACGAAGTCGCGCTTTATATCGACTATGAGGGCGCGCGCTGAGATTTAGTGATTTAGGACACAAAGTTTAGTGACAGTGTTTGGACACGCCAGCTAATCTCATATGCTTGTATCTTGCAATCTTGGCATATCTCAACGCATTCACGGAGTGACACTGGGCCACCGCCCTATTAACGACAGAAGGAGGCACCGCAGTGCCAACGAAATAGATAACCCACTACAGGGGTGAGCACTATGCGTGCAAATGAAATAAGAAGACCCGCTAAAGGGGTGGGCACTACAGGTGCTGATGAATAAATAGATAATAAGGTCTGTTGATTCACTAGGGTCTCACCCTAGTCGTCCCCACCAACAGTAGAAGGGCGCTGACGAACAGGTAGGCAACGGGCACCAATCGTTCGGCACGTGAAGACTGCATTCGAGCGGCGAAAGCGAGCACACATGATCGCGTCAGCTTTATGCCAGGCTCGGCAACGTGTACAACAGATCCAGTCTTGGACGTGCGGATCAGGTTCACGCGGTATATAACGAACGCAGTTACCATACAGCTGTAGAGGACTTATATCCTTCAAAGACGAATGCCCTCCCATGTTGGCAGAATCTATACGGCATAGGCTTGGAGAGACATGTTCGGTGACTCGATACGGACCGCAGAAATTAGGCAGAGACATTTTAGAACCAGAGGGAACGTATACCAGAACCAGATCACCAACTTTTATAGTAGGACGATGAGCATCTGATCCCATACGGCGTTGATAAGCTGATTGCTGGTGCTCCTTTATCTTGATCCAATGGTCCCGATATTGGGTCCAGTCTAGCCTGAAGTTCTCCGCCGTCTTCGAATGTAGATCACGCAGGAATGCTTGCTCCGATGGGAGCATCAGCTGAGACACTCCTTGAAGAAGCACCTTATCATCTTCCGGCGACGATAGATCACATGGCAGCCGGCCCGGAGATGTAAAGAACAAGTGAAGGGGAGACAACGGAGAATCGGTACTATATGGAGACCCATTATACGCCAATTGGAAGTTTGGAACCATTGATGGCCAAGAATCTTCATCACATCCACTAGCCACTGATGCTTTCCACATAGACCGGATAGCCAGATGCGGGCGTTCAATCCACCCAGCATAGGATCCCCCGTAGGGAGGTAAGACCACAGCAGCGACGTTATGGTTGAAACACCATGCTTTCAGGGACTGTGATTGGCGACTGCTCATCCAGGGGCAGGAGTTGGCCATACCGTCGAATACCAGGGCAACCGGCCATCCGCAATCGGAGAAGACGCTCTCCAAGACCGCCGTGCACTCCGCAATAGACAATGTCCGCACCGGGCGTAGGAAGGTAAATGAGGTTGTTGCGCACGTCACCGTTAAGAGAGCTGTGAACGGTGCTGTACTCCCGAACGTCGGTTTTCCTGATGGCATAGACATAAAATCGACCCCATAAACTTGACCCGGCGCTGTAGACTTGAACTTCAGTCGACCAAAAACTCTCCAATTACACCGCGCAGCATGCACCCGCTGGCATGCGTCGCACGATTTGAGCCGTCTTTTGATGATACTGAGGAAGTATGGTAGATAGTAGTGCTTCGACAAAATAGTGTGTAGTTTGGCTGCACCAAGATGTCCCATTCGTTCATGGGATCTGTCTATAATAGTATGCACGTAGGGAATGTCGTTCTTGGTTAATACCGCTTTCCTGATCACGGTCCCATCCGTGTCCACTGCTGATACCCTGTAGAGCACCCCATCTTGAAGGGCATAGAGAGGTGCTTCACGACTCAGGAACGACTTTGGAATGCTACTTTTGAAATCATCAGATTGGGCACCTCCCTTCACCTGTGCCAAATAATGCGAGATCTCTTTACATAAGAGAGATTTCTGCTGATGATCTCTAAGCGCCTCCATTTGATATTGGCTAGTATCAAGTGGTGTAGATCCATCGTCCACGACATTATCCTGGCCAATCGCAAAACATTGAGCCAAATCAGGTGGATAACCCGTCGCGGCAATGTCCTCAACCGATTTTGGGCAGTCCTTCTCCAATGCGAGTCGGCCAATGTTATCACCTATGACTGGTGAAAACTCCACCAGGGATGACGAGCCAACCATTACCCGAGCCTCAGACAATGTGACCGACCCGAGAAGTCTATGCGTCTGACCAATGACGCCTCGAGACGGGATGTCGGCAACGTTGAGCTCACTGCGAACGTGGGTCACTCTCCAATTAAAGCGAGCGCATGTTGCTCGGATATACGTGACCCAGCGACGTTCTAGGTCTGACATCTTGAGCTTACTGTCGGCGGACTTGAGTCTGAAGACACTTATAGCACTGTCCGTGATGATAACCCATCGACGCTCGCGGTCAGGCTCGAGATTGGCCGCCGCATTCATAATTTCCTCCAAGAGCTGGCAGCCACGGAACACAGCATACAACTCTTTCTTCGGTGTCGACCACGCTGCCGAACTCGAGGCTCCGTAGATACCGCCTGTCCCCCTGAGCGGGAATAGTGGGGCCGTGCTGTTAGGCGCCACCGCCTCTGTGCTCAAGTCGGATATATCAACCGCAGCTCCAAGAGCAACAGAGCCCCAACCGGTCCCAGATGAGTCACAGAACAAGAAGATCTCGCTGTTGTCAATGGCTCGGGGTATAGTAAGGTTCAACGAAGACAATGCTTGACGCCAATCTAGGAAGTTCTGCATATCCGAGGGCCGGACCAGCTCATCCCATCCAACCTGACTCCCATAAATCTCGTGCATGTTCATTCTTGCCCTTACTGATACCGGAGTGAAGAGGCCCAACGGATCATGAAACTTGCTGTAGAGGGATAGGAGCTGGCGTTTAGTTATAGGTGCCATTCCGGAAACTTTCAAAATCTCCTCTGGAACTCTGCATCTCACCTCATCCTGGCGGTCAACACCATCACCTTCCAGACACCACTCGTATCCAAGATGAGCGTGAGTTCCGGCTGATGTGGCTGAGCACACACGTTTCTTCGGCTGGGTGTGAAAGTCGCCTGATGCTAGCACCCGTATAACATCCGCTTCCCGAGCTTCAACTGTAGCCAACGTCCCAGCCATCACCGCTATATCGTCCACATATAGGCTCAGGAAACGCCGCGGGCAAGGGAACGCCGAAAATAAATGGGGTTTGACGCTTTGATACAGTATAGACGGACTCGGGGCAAGGCCAAAGGCTAACACCGTCCATACATATGCACCACCATACATATACAACCCACAGAATGAGGACGCAGTTGGAGATAACCGTACAGCGTGAAAAGCTGTTGTAAGATCCAAATTGCGATAGCAGCGTGCCAAACGGAATACAGTCAGATTGTAGATCAGTGAATCGGCGTCATCTTCACTACCGTTCGACAAAAAACGATTTATCCTCCGACCATCTACCGTTATCCTTACCGGGCTTGTTGAGCTGGACTCCTTGAACACCACTCGAGCAGGGAGGAAGTATTTGATAGCAGGGGAGGTGGCATCACATGAGACCAGCTTGCCGTTCTCGATGAGGTCGTACAAGGCTTGTTGGACTTGACAATTTTGCCGGAAGGACATCGAGTTCTCTAAAGAGCGAGCCCGACCTTTGGCTTCACCGAGGTTCAGCCGTGGTCGAGTATGATCTCTCCACGGTAAGTCGGTGAGCTCCATGAAGGTTTCGGCTCTCTTGTCAGGTGGGCATGGTGGGTGGGGTTCAGATCCAGCAACTACCCTTCTAAGAGGCATCGGACTGCGGAAGACGAACTTTTTGTCTCCTTCAAGAGACACTTCCCTCATATGTGCCACGACCGATGGTGGCTCGACGTTCTCAATACACGGCATAAGTCCGTCATGAAACTCCTGTGAGGCAGGATCCATCGGTTGCGTCGTGACAGCAGAATCTTGGCATAGTGTTGATGTTGCATGGTTAGGAACATGACCATAAGTGGTATCGCCATTGCCACTTGATATGCTTGGCGTCAATACACCTCGACTGTAGCAGATGTGGACGCCTAGTGCACCGAGAGCTTGTACTCCTAGTATGGCATCGTACGATAGTTGTGAAGCTACCCAGAAATCTTGTACAACCTCGCAACCATCCTTCGTCCGGAGCGATAGGGGTACCGTTCCAAGTAGCTGTAATTGCTGAACACCGTCGGCTAAGCGAACAGTGTGTCTAACAGGAGCTTTAGATGCCTCGCACGGCATATTACATCCATATCTCTTAAGCATAGCTAAAGAGCATAGATTGATGGTAGATCCTGTATCCAGCAAGCATCGAACCTCAATCCTTGGTCTCACCGGACTAGCAGGATGACCCACGGATAGGACCTCTGTTACTGCCCTGGTCACACCGTTACATTGGGCGACATCAATAGCACAAGTAGAGGAATATTGATCTTCTGTAGTCCCAATCCACAGTTCCCCATTGTCATCCGAGATCTCGAGGTGGCTGGCGTGGATGGCTGCTGTTGAATGAGATTGTTGCTTCTGGTCGACTCGATCATGTGCAAAGGTACAGGATGGGCGGCTACACTGGCCCGTCCGTCGGAACTCGAAACAATACGACGCCTTATCAGTACTTGAAGTATTCGCAGTTGTTGATGTGGACTGCTTAGTTGAATCAGGGCTAGGATCAGGTTGTTGCTGGAGGCTATGGCGGAAGCGACATGCGGCGCCGCGGCGACAGTTTCCACGCTGGAAATCTCTGCAGACTGCTTGACCACCACGTTGATCTTTTCGTGATGAGTCGCGAAACGAATTAGAAAAGTACAATGCAATTTCCACGAGTTCACCCAGAGGCGGAACTCGGGGACCTAAATGCTGTGCCACCGTAGATCGTAGAGCAGGGAGAAGCCCGCGGCGGAACCGCGACCGAATTGTTGTTTCATCGACAACCCGGCCGGTTGCTGAGTACAACGAGGCCGCTTCTTGCTCCAGTCGCGTGATGTAGTCGCCAACGCTCTCACTTTGCCCTTGGTTCATAGATGGCCCATCCCAACGATTCTCCATAGCCTCGATTTTCCATGCAGAACGGTACTTCTTATCCATGATCTCTATCACCTGGCTCACGTCGGAGTAGCCCTCCAACGCAAACTGACGAATATCATCAGCAACACTACCCTCGACACACCTTTGTAAGTAGTAGATACCATCCATACCTCGTAATTGATATAACGATACTTGTCCCATAAACTGTCTGCGGAAGTGTTCGTAGGTCATTCTGCCATATGGACCTTTCCATGGCCCGACAATCGGCAAGCGAAACACATCCAGCGGCTTCTTATCCATATAAGCATGTAGTGGGCGTCCTCCAGTTACTTGTGGGGTGTTCCCACAATAACTCGATGTGGCGGACAGTTGATGCTTGAGCCTAGCGATTTCAGAACGTAGTTCCTGAACTTCGGACGTATGATCCTCCGCCATTGGATCTTTGAGGGGCCTCATATTCGGTTGAGATAACTGTTTGGGATACTGGGACAGCAGTAAGGGCCGGTGAGCCACCGGCACTTCCGCACAGAATATACCTGGGGGAGGGATCATAGTCCTCGTCGCGTCCACTTGGGGTGCTCGCTCCCGTGCATCTGGAACCGCTCCCAACCGAGCTGATGGCGCTGAATCCACAGAACTTCCACCACTTGGAGGTGATGATGACGATACCGTTATGTTTTGAGCTGCCAGTTGACTAATAGAGCTGACCTTGCCAGTACGTTTTAGCCCAATCTTCAGACGGTTACTCCGCCTCGGAAGCCTTCTGGTAATCCCGGTAGAATGACAGGTTTCCCCGTGGACAGTGGCAGGCGGGAGAGGATCAGACACCTCAGCAACCTCCTCCTGATCTCCCACTGATACAACTCCAGACGTAGCTGACATGACGTAATGGGCTAATAGTAAATGCTCATACCAAAATAGCTAATCTCATATGCTTGTATCTTGCAATCTTGGCATATCTCAACGCATTCACGGAGTGACAATTTACCATTACCTCCTGTCTTCACCGCAGGAGTGCCATCTATGTGACCCCAAGCACCACCTGGCATGCGGTATAAGGTCCGATTAGCTGTGAAGATCGAATTCGGTTCGCGCAGGGAGTAACCATGAGAGCACACACACTCACATTTTGTATTGGCCGCGCTACGCCAGACGACTTACAAATCTTACATGCACTTGCATAACACTTTTGGTGACATATGTGAGATTTGGTGACAGTCTGTGAGGTAGTCCTTCTTAAGATAGGTTGTTCATAAAATGGCGAGTGGATTAGATGATTCCCTCATTAGAACAGGCAGTCCATTGGAGCTAAACAATGATGACAGTGTAATACCGACCGTGATCGCTCGTCAAATCAGTATCATCGTGTCCGTCTTGGTGTTAATACCGATGCTGCGTTGTTGAGCTCCTCCTTGTCGTCTGGCTCCGAGTAACTATCGCGAGACCATCCCGCTCTGTTGCGTCATAATGTACTCTTCTGTTATTGCAATCTAGGTAGTGGAAGGTTGTAGTATTAGTACATAGTAGCTGTATCTTCGTGGAAGGCGCAAGATCCCAGGGATGTGGCGTGTCGCTCATCCTTGGTGTTTGAAAACTGCGAGCTTTCCCGATCATTCTCTGTCAAGGTTATCAAACCATCTCATAGACATAGCAGATCTCCGGATAGCGGAACTGGCAGAGTTGTTAGGCACCGCAACGGTAGGGACAGGATGAACCTAACATGGGAAAGATGTCTCCACTAGGTGCTTCCACGACGGCGTCGGGCTCTAGTCTCAGTACAGAGGTTTATAACGATGTTCTGTTACAGAAGCAGGATGAGATCTTCAGTCTTGGTGAAGATATAACTCTGGCAGTGAGTGAAGGCCGATATAAGCGAGCGGCTTCCTTGCGGAGTAAGTCGGAGTGTTCTACTGTGTTCCGAGAGTGTTGATGATAACGCCTGCAGAGCGCTTGAGAGCGGCTCGGCAAGAGTACGATATGATGATAGAGAAACGCGTGGAGTACTTGGCTCAACTGAAACAGCAGCAGCTTGCGGAATCATGGCGCTCGATGCGCTCAAGATTCGAGAAACGGTAAGAGCGGTATTGATTGTGCTGATCTCCATGATAGAGGGAAATGAAAAACTGGATTGTTGCGGCTTCGATCTTCTCTGGCATTTACTGGTTGCTAAGCTCTTTGTATCGAACTCACCAAGGTTCGTGGAGGAACGCAAACGGATAGAAGAATTAATCACCTCAACGAAGAACCGGCTGTCGGCACAGCATGAGTGAGTTCTCCCCCCTCGCCGGCTCCGAGAGTGGTACCGTCGCAAGTTCAGGCAGGAGCTGGTGGAGCTCGAGCAAACATATGCGAATGAGGCACTGGACCCACGACACTCGTGGGGCTCGACACTGCGGGATTTGATGAGAACCGAACAGCGACTCGCCGCCATAGGAGACTTTGATGGCGCAGAGGAGTGAGTCGATCATCTGGAGCGGTAGTTTACTGAGTCGCTCAGCTGTCGCATGCGGGGACGAACGATACGACAGCGAGAAATGGAGGATCACCATAGGAAACGGCAACTGCAATATGAAACTACTAAACGGTACTGAGGGTTGAAAACAGGGACGGGTCGGTTTGATACAAATAGATGTGCATGGTGACAGGCATCTCCTACGGCGTCACCAGTCCGAGATAGAAGGGGTCGTCCGCCGGGGTGATCGCATGATAGAGTTGGCTCGGCGCAACTATACAACGTCGCGGAACGCGTTAGACGCGAAGTCCAAATTCATCGCGAAAAAGGTTAGCACTACGCAAATCGATGAGCAATGCGTTCTTCCCTCAGGTATCGCAAGAGTGTTACAAGTTCTCTATGTCAGTAAGGAAGCCGCCGGGGCACGAAACCACTCAGAAAGGGGCTCTCGGGTACCGAGGAGCGAAGTTTGGGCCTCCTCCTAGGAAATTGAGCATTCACCCTGATGGTGGAAGTCGGGACTTGTGATGCTATCTATCGCCATGTCTCATTGTTACAGTTGCTGCCTGTTGTTCCTGCGGACGCCGCAGTGCGGAGCGGAACTGTTGAGTTGTAGTAGTCTTATGGTGGCATAAGTGTGTTCTGTCATATTCCTCGGTAGATGAGCGTCACCAGAAGGAGAAGAGATGGACGTGTACTTGGAGAGTTCAGCACAAGTCCTCCGAGCTATTGGCACGACGCTCGGGAATCTGAGTTGGAGAACTCACCGTTGCTCTCTAATATGAAAGTGGCTGAGGGCCTACTTTTACCCACTGCCAGAGCGGCGAGGCGACGGTCTTCGGCAATAGGTAGTGCCCACAGTGGCCCCTCTTGTCACCTATACTTTGTAAGATCGAAGTGATCTCCAGAAGGTCGAGCACAATATCATTTTGGCTATGGAACGTCAGAGTATGGAAGTTATTGAGTACGTCGATACGAGCTTGAGAGAGATCAAGCTGATGATAGGTGATGCTTGGTAGAGTCGATAAGGGTTATACTTCATTCGATCCTCCTTGTCATCGTTGTGTTCTCAGAGGAACTGTCCACCCGTCTCTCGAGCAGATCATCCCCCCTGTCTTCGGGTCAGTCACTTGTGTCGAAGCGGAGTGCCGATCGGGCACGTATGGTGAGTCTAATCGGCATCGCTTTTCCCAACCTCACACGGAAGTTCATATTTCTGTTATTGATTATCGGTGTTAGGAGCGTGACTCGGAGAATAGGCCCGTGCCTCCCATGGAAGCGTCTGTGAGGTCCGGCGAGGAGATAGAGGCAGAACGGGTGACAGGCGACTGACTACCCCTCCTTGGTGAAAATGTATTCCGCCTCTTTTCAGGAGCCTCGGGAGGAGGAATCGACCGGTGAGCTACCTGACGACATGTTTCGTCCGGTGAGCACGCTGGACTTGGGTGCTGATACTGGTGGGGTTCCTTGGATAAGCCCAGCGAGGACGAGGACTATCGGGCGGATGAGTTCCGCTAGTAAATCGGATCGCTCTACAGTGGCTGGATACGTGGTATGGCAGGCTCTGGGCGACCAATAACCACCTGGGGAATGCTCAGAACTCCTGGAACGACAGGCCATCATATCGTCAGGCTACCTGCAGGGGTGCAGGATGATAGTGATAGTGACATTGACCACAATAAGAGTACTGATGATGAGTTGCCTCTGACCACCAGTGAGGAACCTTCGGTAAGACTCGGAGTATTTCTGTCAATGAGGACTTCAATAGCCCACAAAACCACAATCGATTTCGAATCCATCCGACATTCAGAAGATGGAGACTGCGGGTTTTCGTGAACCTGCCAAGGAGAGTGCTTCCCAGAGGCCGGGGGAAATGACAGTACTTGTTTGCTTCTCCTCTTGCGTGTATTGTTTGTACAGAGATTTCCTGAGAACGCCCCAGAGAGAATCTTCAACGATGGAGTTGTTGTTCAATCGTTGTCGCAGCCATTGAACCATGCACCCACAGACGCCACCAGGAACTCCTCTTGTGTATCGACTGAGTGAGTCCTGCGAAATGAATATCATCGTCTGTTGTTAGTGGCACACTAGGTCTATTCAGGTTAGGAGGATCTCAACGATCAAACGTGGTCATTCGACGCTGGATCACTCCTCCAACACGAACTACTATTAGAGTAAGCGGCCCGATAAGGCAATGACAGGATTCACTACGCTCAGTCCCATACTGCCGCAGCTCTACGACCCAACCTACAGGGTTTGGCGATGACGCCTCCAGTGCTCTTCCCTCACTATCGTATGGTTAGCCCTATTGCAGCTGCTTTCACCCCGCCCACGGGCCTGGCTCGCCCTCCTGTACAGATCACACAGAGTGTCCCACTACGCCCTAGATATCATCCATCTCCAGTGATAGTTCGTCCGTACACCGTCGATTATGATAGCAGTCTTCCTTGCAGGTCACGAGTACTATAACGAGAATGGGGACTCAAGACTGGATACCGCTTCCCCGTCCATGATTCAACTAATTAGCTGTGCTTTTTTCATTGAGGCAGTTGCCGCGTGTGATGATAAACAATGTTTCGTAGTGTTCCAGTGGATATTGGAGGTGGCGACATATTTCCTAATCCCCGAGTAGAGCATACGGTGACGTAACACTTGCAATTGTGCGACAAATGTCTCATATCTCCGCCAGGCGTTTCCAAGCCCGTGTGACCTCTGATTAGCTTACTGCTGCCCTAGGAAACTCTTAGTACTCCTCGAAGGTATCAAGCATGGCCCTAGGATAAATCTGGTGCATTCCCTAATTCCAAGGAAATAGATCGAGCTGTCATTCGTACTACAACACATCGAGCAGTTCTATCAATGTTCTTCCATTTCACCCAAAGTGTTTGGGCCAAACATCACGAGTCCATTCACTTTCAACAACGCAACATATGCCTAGTTGAGAAAGGCAACAGTTATCGACATATACTATCGTTAATAGAGGGTATGGTTGCTGTAATCAAACGAATGTTGCGAGTATCTCCTCGTAAAAGTTGACCAAGTGAGCAGCTACACAGCAGAATAAACTGCTTCTCTAGGTGTTTAAAACTGCTCAGCATGAAGTGAAGGAAACAGAGCAGAGAAGGCTCTTGTTGCGGGTGCCGATAGGCATGTTTATATCTTGTCCACTGAACCAACATTCTTAATCAGGAGTGTGCGAATCTCCGTCATATCCTCCATAGCATAACGAACACCCTCCTTTCCGACGCCCGAGTCCTTAACACCGCCATAGGGCTCAGCATCCACACGGATGCTGGGAACGTCGTTGATCACAACACCACCGACCTCGAGATTGTCCCACGCGTAGAAGACACGGTTCATATCCGTGGTGAAGATACCAGCGTGAATACCGTACCTGCGAGAAATCACTTAGAATATACGTCTGTCGTAGCTCGTACTTCGAATCGTTAACAGCATCGATAACGTCCTTGAAGTCACTGAATCTGGTGGCGCAAAGAAGAGGTCCGAAGGCTTCCTCTCTCCACACAGTGGCGTCAATCGGTACATCAGCCAGGAGGGTAGGCTCAACCATGCAGCCATTTCGACCACCACCGCAAAGAACAGTGCAGTTCACGCTCTTCGCTTCCTCGATCCACCCGTGCAAGCGAGATGCCTCCTTTTCGGAGATCATAGGGCCAACAAAGGTGGTCTCCAACTTGGGGTCTCCCATCTTCAAAGACTTGACCTTTTCAGTCAAGGCCTTCATAACCTGCAGACAAGACGATAGGCAAAATCACTAGTGAGCAACGACCCCACCTCTTCATAGATGGTGTCGCGGATGTACAGTCGCTGAGTAGAGATGCAACTCTGACCGGACTGGTAAAAAGCACCAAAGGCAATGCGGTTGACGAGATAGTCCAAACCTTCTTGAGGGATGGAGTCAACAACACAGGCGGCGTTGCCACCGAGCTCCAAGACAACAGGCTTCTTTCCGGCCTACCAAAAACAGATGCACGTTGACTATATAAAACAAGGCCTACTCTGCTCTTCATGTCCCATCCGACTTGGGGGCTGCCAGTGAACGAGAGGAGCTTGAAACGCTCATCAGTGGTGAACAAGTCGGCACCTGTTGGCAAAGCAGTGATGAGCTGTTAACCCGAGGATGAACTGACCGTTCCTGGAGCATGGAAGAATCGAGAAGGCCTCGTTGGGGAAATCGGGACACTTGGAGAGGATCTCACCGATGATGAGGGCACCGAGAGGAGTGGCACTAGCAGGCTTCAAGACGAAGGGGCAACTGAGAGGAGTGATGGAGATCCCTTAGTTGGTGTGAGCAGCAACCTACCCCGCAGCGATAGCAGGGGCAATCTTATGAGCGGCAAGGTTGAGAGGGAAATTGAAGGGCGCGATCATTGAGACAGTTCCCTTGGGGACGCGCTTGTAGATCTGCTGCAGACCCTTGTTGCGACTTGAGAGCTCCATGGTGGACCATTCACCATACACACGAGTGCACTCCTCGGCGGCAAGCTCGAATGTATCAATGAGACGATTTACCTGGAGACACGAGGTCCATTAAAATGAAGCAATCGAAAGGGCGAACAATACCTCTCCCCTGGCATCAACAATAGGCTTGCCAGCTTCGACGCAAAGGCAGTAGGCGAGCTCATCAAAGCGCTTGCGGAACTCAGCGACGCAGTGCATGAGGACAGCCTTCCTCTGATAAGCAGGCATCTGAGCCATCTTCTCCTCGGAAGAGTGAGCCTTCTCAATAGCCTTGTCGATCTCGGCCTCGTGAGCGACAGCGACGTGGCACACTACGTTACCAGTGTACTTGTCAGTTACACCCAGCTCAGTGTTGGCGTAGACCGGCTCGCCAGCTAGGTAGTAGGGCCACTTCTCGGCGATTTTGGGATCAGCGACGAATGCCATTCTAATAGGGAGTACTTCTTATAGAATTAACTGCGCAAGGACAAGTCCCACTAAGATCCTTCCACAGCCCTCAGCTAGATCTTCGCGCCAACGTTATCCCCACAAAGCTGTGGCGAGAGTAGACACGTTACTGTGACCAACAGTGACAATTTCACAGATGAACAAATCAGGACAAACTACAGCTGTAGTCACACAACGCGTCACAGATCGATGAGCAGGGCTCACCTTCACGGTCACGGTGAATTCACGGAGCTGCACTAATCCAGAGTACCACTAACCCCTAGAGGCAATACCACTTCACACTCCGGGGAGCACAGCTTAAACCAGGCTCAACGTAAAAAGCGCACGCCCTAAATATCTTTAGTGTCGTCGACGTTCTGTTCATATTGATGCAGATTCAGTGGTAATGTCAGCCACTACCAG